CCCAGAGAGACTGGGCAATAGAACAGAGGGATGCTAAGGCATTTGCACTGAAGGAAACTTCAGCGGGTGAATTCACCCCGCTCCTGCTTCAGCTGGAGACGAGAGAGGGCTGTGAGCTCCTGAGGGACTCAGAGCAAGCCAGCCACAAGCCAGGACTGGGACCCAGTGCTCCTGACTCCAGTGCATTCTTTTCCCTCTACATCAGACGTCTTCTATTAAAGGGCCAGGTAGTAAATATTTTAGGTTTTGTAGGCCAGACAGTCTCTCTGCACCATGACCACTCAGCTCCACTGTTGTGGCACACAGCAGACACAGACAATATGGAAGCGAATGGGCGTGGCTGTGTCCCAGTAAAATTTTATTTACCAGAACAGGCAGCAGCTGGATTTGACTCATGAGCTGTGGTTTGCCAACCCCTGCTCTACACAACAAGCGATGAGGCCTAGAAACTGGATCCCTCAGAGCACACGGGGAGACCTTTAGCCTGCTCTGGAGTCAGAGGGTGGAGGCAGAGGAGGGCATCACCAGGTGGACTCCAGAGCTGGACGCTGGGCCTCGGACACTGGGCCCTCCACTGTACCGAGGCTTTTAGACCAAGACCGGAAGTTCATTCAGATGCCCTTGAGCTTTGGGGAAAACGAAGCTGCCCCTGTAGTCCTGTCACTGCTGCTGCCATTGTTATTTCTGCAACTTGGGCATCAAATGGCTCAGAAAAGCAACTCAGCTGCCATAGTCACTAGAGACAATCAGAAGACCAGGAATTTGCTGCCAAGGCAGATTTCCTTTAATGACAGTCACTGAGCGCTTGGCAACATGCCAGGCATTGTGATCAGTGTGTCACATGCATTCCATCCCAACAGCTCTGTGAGTAGGTAGAGTCACCCCCACTTCCAAAGGGGAGAAGGAGACTGAGGTGCCCAGAGGTCAGGAGGCTGGCCAAATCCCACAGCGTGTCAGGAGTAGAGTCGGGCTTCTAGCCCAGGTTTTCTGAAGCCAAAGCCCTTGATCATTTCCATAATGGTAGGATGTTCGTTGGTGTATTTGGTTACTTATTTATGGCTCAGGGCGAGAACTTGAATAAACTTCTCTTGATCAATTGTTCAAAAAGATAGGATTCAAATGATCTTAGGAACATTCTGTTTAGCAAAATTGAGCCCACTGCCTTCATGCACTAAAGTTTATGAAGTTTTATGAAGCCCGAAAAGAATTGTTTTGTTGTTAAAGGTTTTCCCAGTTGTCCCTGGCATATCTTTTCTTCATCTTTCCCAATATAGCAGAGAAAGAACCATTCAGTGCAATACAGTCCACAGACCACCCGGTCTCCCAGTCACCGTGTCTGCTACCTGGGCCTTTCTCTCTGGAAGCTGTAGCCTTCTGGCCATACTTCCTGAATGTGGCTTTGCCCTAGTGGGGGCCTCACTCCTGCTTCCCCGAAGGGGCCTTGCTCTCCAGCAGTGAGAGGCAGGCATGAGGCCACCTCTTTAATGACCTCAGGGAAAGTTGTCTTTGAACCATAGGTCCTTCCTTTTCCAATCTCCACCCCTGCTACTTGTGGGAGTTTCTTCAAACATCAAACATTCCAGAGGTTTTATTAGTTTACCATGGCTCTCCCTAAGTTTTCCTATAAACCGGAGTTAAACCCAGATGCTTTGTTATGAGGACAGAGTTCCTCTGAGATTCATCATGTGTGTAGTGCTGGGTCCAGCTTCCAGGAGGTCCTGGTGCTGGTGGGCATAAACATTTCCCAAAGTCTATGCCCACGGCTACTTCATCCATCAAACAGGAGAGATGGACTGGGCTGAAGAAGCGCTCACAAGCCTCTAGCTTGGAAATACCATGTGAACGCAGAAGATGATGGCCATCTGTGTCCAGCAGGGGGCAGCACTCCCAGCTCTGGGCTGTGGGGCTTGGTTCCATATAAAAAGCTTTAACAGGCATTTGGGTGGTCAGACAGGTCTTGGCAAGTTGGAGTGACACACAGGTGTGAAAACAGGAAACAGGTTGACCTCATTGGACAATATGTTCTAGGGGAAAAAGGAGTCTGCAGAGGTCTCCAAGGGGCCCAGAGCCTGAGCTCTGCGCTCTTACTGACTCAAATGCTCTAAGGATTAGAAGATTCTGAGTTTGGGTGTTACTAGTCGTTTTTTAAAGAGGAACTATATTCCCAAGAAAGAGTTTCAGCATCACAAGAGAAAATGATTCTATTCTTAGGGACATGAAAGAAGGGGAAAGGAAATATATTTATTAGCTTGAAGTAGTAGTAAATCTTGGTGCTTGGAGAAAGCATAGAGTGCTCAGAGAGAACTCCGAGACTTGGCATCAGAACACTTGACTTCAGTTCCCACCTGTCGGTTGTGTGTCTGTGAGCATATCTTTTCATCTCCCTGGGACTTAAATTCCTCATCTGTAAATGGGAGAGGCTGGGCCAGACCTTCTGCTAGGTTCCTTGTGATTCTGTCCATTTAGGATAGCACTTTCCAATAGAACTTTCCAGAATAATAGAAATATTCTCTATGTGCATTGTCCAGTATGGTACCACTAGCCACATATAAGTAGTGAGCACTTGAAATGTGGCTGGGGCAACTAAAAAATTCCATTTAATTCAATTAAAAATTAAATAGCCACATGTAGTTAGTTGCTACCATATTGGACAGAACAGGCTTGGGATTCTAGAACCAAAGATTTGGTTCTGTTCAGTCTATTGTGTATACCAAGCTAAGCCCAACTGAGTAGAATTGGCTGGTGGATACAGCAGCTTAAGTGACAGAGAAAGATGTGTTTATGGGACCACTGAGTGAGGTCTTATTTGTTAGTTATCTAAGAGCACATGCTCTTGAGATAGCAGAGACAACCAGAAACATGAGCAAAGAGAGCAATTTGCTGGCAATGAGAGATGGTTTCTAAGAGATGGGATCTAGGGCACCCCCTGCACATTCTAGACAAATTCTGCACAGGGGCTGACATTAAGGACTGCCTGCTGGTTTGCACTCTGCTGTTAGAACATCCAGTTAGCCAGAAGCCCCTCTCCCTTGGCATTCCAGCTCATTGAAATGTCACCACCCTCCCCTGCCACCCAACCAGAAACTACAGCTGGCTAAGCAGTGTTTGTGTCTCCTGTCAGGCTCATGACCCTGTCTGCCAGACATGCATGTGGGATCATGTCCACAGAGCCCCAGGCAGCTTCAGGATCCAATCCATTCCTCATCATTTCTTGGCAAGTCCAGAGGTTAGATCCTTATTAGAAATATCACCTCAGCTCATTAAGGAAGAACTATGTGTTTGGAGGTAAGGTTCAGAAAGGTATCCAAGATGCCTGTTTCTGGCCCTGTCTACTTTACCTGCCATGGCCTATCTTCCCAAGCAGGTCCTTCACTGAGTTCCTCAAATCAATACTTTATTGTACTGTTCCCACTGTCACTGCCTTTGTTGTGACCCCTTTTGCTTCTTGCACACACTATTCAGCCACTGTCTCCCTGCCTCTCAGCCATCCTTTTTACACTCCTTGGTAAAACTTCTAAAATACACTCCAGTCATGTCACCCTTGGGCTCAAATCCTGCAGTAGCCTTCCCAATGCCTTCAGGATGGAGACATGGCTCTTCATGGGTTACCTAAAGCCTGACATCTTCCTACCATTATTCCCACTGGACTTCTACAGGGACCTGCTGCTCCAGCCAGCAAGCCACTCAAGGCCTCCTAGGCATAACTTCTGCTTTCCTGAAGACCCCACATACCTACACCTTTTGCTCTATAGACATCCTGTTCAACCTTCCAGGCTCATCTCAAATGCCATCAACTACATGAAGCCATTTCTGCTCTCCCAAGCTCGTACCTTCTCCCAATATTTGTCAGTGTGTACTCTTTCTAGGAGGAATTTGGCAGTGGAGTGGAGTGGTGAGAATAATACTGCAGTGGAAGCAGCTAGAACTGGGTTCAAGTCTTTGTCCTTGCATGTAACTTGGGCAACTGACCAAACCATTCTCCGTTCCTCAGTTCCCCATCTCTAAAATGGACATGATGCTTACCTTACAAGGTGGTTGTGCAAGCTACATAAGCTCATTTATGTAATGTGCTCAACTCAGTGCCAGGTGCCTCACAGGTGCTCAATAAGTGGTAGCAATGGTTATTATTATTTATTATTATTATCATTAGACCATTACTGAGGAAGCATGGGCCTTACACACACTGACTCCCTCTCTTAATTGTAAGTGTCCAGATGGTGGGGATCACTGCATTTTTTGGTAACCCCTGCACCCAGCTATAGTTTGCAAATAGTGAAGACTCAGCATATGAATTGGTTGGGCAGCTCTGGATCCTAAAGGCCTATTTTTGAATCCCAGGTTCACCACTTACTAGCTGTGTGACTTTGGGCAAGTTTCTTAATCTCTCTGGGCCTCAGTTTCCTCACTGGTAAAGAGGAGAAAAAGATGGTACCTTTTTCATAGATTGTAGGAAGGATTTAATGGGGCATTATTAACAAAGTGTCTGGGGAACTATCAACTGGGTTAGCCAGCTCCTAATACAGAACTTGGACCTAAGAGGCAATCAGTGAAGATTTTTTGAATGAATGAATGATCCCATTGTACCTGCTGTAATGAGGTTGAGGGGTAGAGTTCTTACAGTATGATTCTCAGTTACAGTCATTTGGCCATGTGTTCTGGAGTAATTCTTTCCCTCCATTCTTTATTCTTTTATTACCTGGCTCTGGTCTGATTGCCTGGTTCTAACTGGTTTATGGTATGCAGGCCTTTTTAGCAAATCTCTCTCAAGCCTCTATGAAAGCGGAAAGGGCATAAACATAAATATAGGACTTGGCCACGTTCCTCTTGAGCCCAGCTGAACAGAACTGGCTGATGGAGACAGCAGCATAAGTGACAGACAAAAACATGTTACAGGACCACTGGGTGAGGGTTTATTTGCCAGTTAGCTGAGAACACGTGCATTTGAGCAGCAAAGACAACCAGAAACGTCAGCAAAGAGAGCAGTTTGTCCACAGCAATGAGAGACGGTTTCTAGGAGATGGGGGCAAGGGCGCCCCTGCGGTATCAGAGCACATTGCTGACTGCCCACCTGCTGGTGCTGCTCTGGGTCTTCCCTGCCGGCTGGGCTGGCCCTGCTCTCGTGGTGGCCACTGGACCATGGTCAGGCCTGGCCTGAGGAGGCAGCAGGCATTCACTCCAGCCTCCAGGACCCACCCATGCTGAGGAACATCAGTAGCAGCCCGTGGGGGCGAGCACACAGGGCACACAGATGGTGCGGGGCACGCAGATGGTGCGGGGCATGCTGGGAGAGGGCGCACAAGGGTGACAGGAGGGAGTGGAGCGTCGGGGACAGGGCAACCTGCAGAAGAAAGGCATACGAGGCAGGATAAGAAAGAAGCCCAACGTGGCAACAAACCCAGCTGGCCCTGCCCCTGCCCTGCGTCCCTCTAACTCACCCACTGCACACCTTTTTCACTAATTTTCCTTCTATTGTCTTCACCTGTGTGGTCCCAGCAGCCTCCTAAGCCCACTCTTGCAGTTGCTATCACAATCAGCTCAGTGGCCAGAGTGATCTTCTACAGACAGAAATCTACTCATGTCTGTCCCCTGCCTAAAACTTTCAGTGGCTCCCATATGTGTTCAGGATGAAGAGCAACTTCCTTCAACTCAGTTGTCACCTCCTCCTTGAAGCCTTCCCTGATCTATCTGTTCAAATCCCCTATGATACCATGTACCTCCTTCCATAGTAATTTGTGACAATTCTATTATGCTCTGTCTCCCCACTGGGCAGCGAGGTCAGCAGCCATATATGTGTGCCCACCCTGCATACCTGGCCTAGAGCAGGTACTTAGGAGGTGTTGAGTAAGATGAATTATCAATTAATGTAGGCATAATATATGGCAAAGGAGAAAGGATGATCTCAGAGGCTGACAGGTATGGCTCCAAACCAGAAACAACCCAACTAGGCATTGGATGGAGGCCAAATTGCCCAGAGGCTGACAGGCAGCCTGAGGACCACGTCCTGCCTGAAATGTGTTTCATTTGGCTGACACTGTATTTTTTTTTAATTGAAAATGTTTAAAAATCAAGAGAATTTAACACTTAAGAGAAATCCAGATTCCCAGCTTGCCTTGAACAATCAGAGATTCCAGCCATGCTAGATATGCATCTCACACAGTAGAAATGGCCCTGAGGGGACGGTGCCTGGACTGGACGAGGCAGAGCTCCCTGGTTCTCCACGGCCCTGCATGACCCATGTCACTCATGTATACTAACTGCCTGGTCCTTGAAAAGCATTTAACTTCACAACTCTTGCCCTGGAGGATAAGACTCTGAATGGCAGGGAAACAAGGCTGAATGTCTACCCACCAGTAATCTGCCCACCAAGCCCACAGCCCGGAGGGGTCCTGTGCCCAGACAGCGAGCACGCCCTGCTGGTTCTACCCCTCAGCGCCTAGGGGCTGACACCTCCACTGCCCTGATTCCAGCCCTGCGCATTTCTTCCTCCCTAGACCACGGCCACGGTGCCCTGAACGGTTTGCCTGCCTGGGCTCTCTTCCCGCTCCTCAGTCCTTCCTGCTGCCATCTGTGCCATCTTCCTGGAGAGCAGCTTTGAGCTTTCGCTGACTGGGTCAAGGAAGATTTACTGAGCATCAACTGGGTGCCAGGTGCAAATAAAAATAGTTTGTATTATCTCTGAGCTCAAGGTGTTTTCCCTCTAGTGGGGAAGGTAGGCAGTTAAGCAAATTCTATCATTTCCTCCTAAAAATAACAAGTCGAGGCCTCCCAATTGCCTGTAAATTAAAGCCCTCCCTCCCAGCATGGCTTCCATGGTTCTCCATGAATGGGCCCCATCTGACCTTTGCTGTCCTCCCTTCACAGCTCATCACATAACCTACCTCTTGTCCTCCCAAGCGCTGAAAACTTTCCCCCAAGTCTGACCTCCAGTTGCCCACCTCCCTAGACTGATGGAAACAGTTGAGAGCAGACACCTTGCCGCCATCTATCTCAGTATTCCCCATGGCACCTGGCACGTGGTAGGCACTTGGAAGGACTCTGCTGGCCTGGAATGGGACAGAACGGTCTCTGGTGGGCCAGGTTTGGGATGGCAGCGTGAATACCTGCCTGACTTTCTTAGGCTCATACCAGCTTCCTAATTGCTTCCTCTGACAGAGTTCTAGCTTATGGGTAGATTTAGTGGCTTCCTATCGCCGCCTCCAACCTCACACATGCCTCTGTACAGCCGCGGCTGGGCCCACCTACTTGCAGTCCTCGCTGTCCAGCAGGCCCTGGTACGTGGCGATCTCGCCCTCCAGCCGGGCCTTGACGTCCAGCAGCACCTGGTACTCGTGGTTCTGCCGCTCCAGGTCACAGCGAATGTCAGCCAGTTGGGCCTCCACGTTGCTGATCACGCACTGCATCTGGGCCAGCTGGGAGCCACAGCGGGCCTCCGTCTCCGCCAGGGTGGACTCCAGGGAGTCCCTCTAAGGCAAAAGGAAAAACAAAATAACTGAGGAGCAGAACTATTTTCCAGACCTGGTTCAGAAAGATGCAAGAAGGGCCAAGTCTCTCTTTGGGGTTGGGAATGGCCCCTCTCTACCTGAGTCACTGTGGAAACTGAAGCCCAGAAAGGTCAAGTGACTTGTTCAAAATTAAGCAGCTGGTAAGTGACAGGTTTTGAACCCAGGTCTATAGGATTTTAAATCCCTTATTCCTTCTTCAGCCTTAGTCTGGCTTCAGACATTGAATCTGAGGTTCACCAGACTCTTCCCCTACAGCATCATTTAGATCAGTGGTTTTCAGCCCGTGCTGCATGTTAGACCGCATGGGAGCCCTAAAATTCCCTTTGCCCAGGCCCCGCCTCCAGAGACTGATTTCATTCATCCAGAATGGAACCTGGGCATGGGGATTTGTAAAAGCTTTACAGGTGGGGTGGAGAAGCATGGGTTTGAAAAGGCAAGCTTAGCAGAGAGCAAGTCTCCTTGGGGAGCTGTATTTGACAGTGTCCACCTAACCCATGTCAGATTTGAGACATGCCCCTTTTATCTCTGAGCTGGGTCTTGGGAAGAACCTCCCTCTAGGAGAGGTCAGCTGGGTGAGCATCTCTAGGGACTGAATCTGGGCCGCCGCCTCCTCCTCCTCTTCCTCCTCCCCCTCTCCTCTTTCTTTCTGGATGTCTGCACCCACGCTCAGTGCCACCTGGATCAGAGCCCAGCCCATAGCACTCACCAGGCTGTGCTGGGCCTGCAGTTCAATCTCCAGTGTGTTGACCGTTTCTCTCATTTCAATGATGTCTGACTGGTAGCTCTGAAGCTGCTCAGAGCTCATGGCCACCTGCTGGTTCAGCTCCTCCATCTGCAATGGGGGAGACAGGAGAAGGCTGGGAGTGCTTCTCAGGGATGCTAGGGAGGCCAGTCCACCTGCAAGAGGCCCACCTGCGTGTTGAACCATTCCTCCACATCCCTGTGGTTGGTCTCCACCAGGGTCTCATACTGACACCGCATCTCTTCCAGGATCCTGTTCAGGTCCACAGGAGGTGCAACGTCCACCTCAATGTTAAGGCGGTCCCCAAGCTGGCATCGGAGGGCACTGACCTCCTGAAAAGGCACAAGAGCCCCAGGCAAAGGTGAAGTCACAGAACCCTGGCCCACCTCTCCAAGGAGACATGGAACCAAAGATGCTAAAGGTCACTGTGTCAGAGGGGCCCTCTGCAGACTACATCCACTCTGCATGTCCCTGTGGTCGTCCAGCTCCAGCCCGACATCCCTGTGATGAGAGAGACACTCCAAGCAACACTTCCTGTCATGACAGCAGAAGCCAAGAGCAGCGTTCGGGTTTGCTGGATCCATCTGGGCTAAAATGGGAAACTCATGCCCCATATTCCCATCCAGCCTCCCAGCGTGTGTTCATCTGGGCACGAGGGCAGCAGGAACCTGGCCTCACTTGATTCAAGGTCCAAGTTGGAGCAGGCGTCTTCCCCAGGCTTGGCTGCCAGAGAGAAAAATTTGTCTCTGAGGCTGCTGGCGTGCGATGATCCCTCATTAGTGGCCTCTTGGTGGGGATCCCAGTTCTCAGATTTAAGTGAGTTGAGTCAGATGCCTTAGGGCACTTGGTGAGTGTATGATGAATGATGGTTCATTACTTTACACTGAAGCCTGCAGAAACCCAGCCAGGATTCAGAGGCACTTGTTCTTTCAAAACCCAAGTGAGAAGGTTGAGAGCCAACTCAGAGGAGAAAACACCACAGCTCAGGTGGGCTTTGCAGCACACAGGTGCCCAGAGTAGAGAGATTTCCTTCCGAAGGCCAGAGGTGAGGAAAGACCAGCAAGTAAAGGGTTGTCCTGTGGCTTTTTGATTAAGTATGTTATATGCAACTAGGAGAGAGGAACAGCGACAACGGGGACAGAAAAAAGAAAACCAGTGCACCTCAACTTTCCCTTGGAAGAGGTGGGGTCTTCCCCGGAAGTCTAGCCTGGCAGAGAGGGGCAGGCCGTCCTTGGGAGTCCTGGAACACAGCCGGGCTCTGGCCCTAGGGCAACACTCTAGCCTGGATATGGCTCTCATGGGAAAATGAAATGCAGTCACAAGCATTTGGCAGTCGCAAGTGTCCAGGCAATGTGGAAGGCAAGGTCGCCTGCATTTCCAAGCACCGACCGAGGAACAGGTGCTCCACACCCAAGACCTCACTCAGGCTCTCAGCAGTCCTGCAGTGCTGCTGTCCTGTTTCCCAGATGTGGAGGCTCAGAAGGTTAAATAAGTTGGGCAGTCGCAGAAACCATACTTGGCAGGTCTGGGAATTTCAACCCATGTCTAACCAACCCAAAGCCCCAGGTTCTTCCCGCTCTGCTTCCCAGGGCCATCTCAGCTTGACTTCAGGGCTCACCTCTTCATGGTTCTTCTTGAAGCACAGCAGCTCCTCCTTCAGGGACTCCACCTGCATCTCCAGGTTGGCCTTGCACAGGGTCAGCTCATCTAGGATCCTGCGCAGGCCGTTGGAGTCAGCCTCCACCAGCTGCCGCATGGCCAGCTCGGTCTCATACCTGTGCAAGGACAGAGTGAGCCACTGAAAGGTGAAACTGAATGCAGAACTCGGGCAGGACCTCAAAATACTGGAGGCTTTTCCAACTCTCTACAAAACTAATGGAAAGCTGCCCCAAGGATGGGCAGGGAGAGGATGCACCCCTATCCCCTGACCAAACTCACTTGGTCCTGAAGTCATCAGCAGCCAGCTTGGCATTATCAATGTGCACAACCAACCTGGTGTTCTCTGCCTTGGTGCACAGAACCTGGGGGCCAAGGCACACAGAGGGAGTTAGTCCAGGATGAGAAGAAGGAAAAAGAACCCAGATGAGGAAAAGATGGTAGCTGATGGGCAGCCTAGCAGCCATTGCTGTAGAAGCCCCTTTTCCCTGGAACTTGTGGGGATATGTAGTAAACTACTTGTGCTTGGAGAATATGAGATTTATTTTTTAAGCACCTTTGTCTTCATAAATCCAAATACCCCATTTTGGATGCAATGAACAATGTGGAAGAAAAGAGTTTCATTAAGCCTAATCATTCACCTGACAGAAGGGTCCTTAGCAAGTGCTAACATTTACTGAAAACTCAGCACATATTGGGGACAGTGCTAAACACTTTCCCTACATCAATTCATGGAATCCTCTTGACAGCCGCATTAGGTATAAAGACCATTATTATCCCCATTTTACAGATGAGGAAACTGAGGCCTAGGGAAATTTCCTCCCAAAGTCTTACAGTCATTCAATGGAAGAACTGAGACTAGATCCAGGTCTCTCCACAGTAAAGGCTTTGACTGAGCCCTCAAATTATGAGACAATCCTATGCCCTAGGGAAGTCTCTTTTCCCTGAACATATCTTAATAGGGTAATGAGACTCAAATCTAAAATGCCAGCTCTTCTGCTTGCTCTCCCAGTGAGTCTATTCACCACTTGCCCTCACCTTCTGCTGCAGCTCCTCAATGGTCCCAAAATAAGCCTGATAATCAGGACACATGGTGGACACTTGAGACTGGCAGGCCTCTTGGATCTTGCTCTCCAGGCTGGCATTCTCCTGCTCCAGCTGATGTACCTTCTCCAGGTAGCTGGCCAGGCGATCATTCAGGACCTGCATGGTCTCCTTCTCGTTGCCATTGAAGGACCCTTCACAGTACCAGCTGCAGGTACTCACAGAGCTGGAGATGCCACTGGCTGGCCGGCAGCTGCTAGGCCAACAGGAGCTGGGTAGGTAGGTCTTGGGGAGATAGCTAGCTGGCCGGTAGGTGGTGGGCATGCAGATGGAAGACACGCATGTTGTGGGTTGGCAGGCATAACCCAGACACAGTTCAGGCCGGCAGCTTATGCTACTGGAGCAGACAGAGGGGGGCCGGGGGCCACTCTTGATGGAGGCTGGTGAGCAGTTGGACGTCATGTTGGGGAGTCCCCTTCTCTTCAGCTGCAGCCACCTGGATCACCAATGTCTACAAACCCCACTCTGTTCAGGGCCCTTTTATACCCATGAAGTGAGGGGGCTCATACAGTGGTGTTGATGTTTATACTCCACCCAGAAGAGGCTGCTAATTAATTTGTAATTTGGTTTCCAATAAGGAGTTCCTTTCCTCATAAAAGAGGCCAAGCTTGTCATTTGGCTAAAGCAAGACTCCAGACTGCTATCATTGATCACCAGCAGAGAGTTCCAGGACACATCTTCAAAGAATTCAATTCCACTCCTGGGCCCTCATTACCAGGGTGGGGCTGCCAGGGGCTCACAGCGTCCTGGCCCTGTACCACCAATGACCCTGCCAGCTGCACCCCCATTTGCGCCAGTGCTGGGAAAGGCCACAGTTCTGTGGGGCAGCAGCCACCCCTCTTAATGAGAACATTCCCTGTGGGAAGAGACTGGCCCTTAATGAGGAGACGTGTGGGTGACAGAAGCTACACCGATACTGGTGGTGGCATAAATCCAGGGAGAGAGGAAAAAGAGCCTTACGCTTCTAGACATGCACCATCTCCTTACCCAGGGGAAGAAATGCTGTCAGCGGGGAGGACCAACTCAGGACATGGACAGAAAGCCTAAGCATCAGGGACATCTTTCCAAGTGGATGCTATTGAGAAACAGACGTCAGGACCCCACACTGGGATAAAGAGATCTGTGTCAGGAACATCTCCATGAGGCAGACACTCTCTTGACCATCTCCAGATCCTCCCCTGTGCACATAAGGAGTCTTCAAGAGTTTAATTGTTTGTTGAATAGGCTAGAACATGCCCTGCTTTCGCTTTCTGCAGTGGAGAGCTCTCTTCGGGGCCTCAGAGGCGGGGAGCAGTGTGCATCAGCTCCCCGGAGAAGTGACACTCTGCAGCCCTGGGATGAGCTAAGCCAGGAGGCCAGGAGCAGCTGTCTCCAATTACAGAAGCCTTGCGTCTTCCTTAAGAAAACAACAGGCCAGACCAGTGGTTTTCAGTTTTGCCTGTAATACTTGTGGGCTTATCCATTTCATATTTAATGTGTGTGTGTTATATAGCCACCTTTTATTCATTAATCTTCTCAATATAATATTGGGGTTTAAGTACTTGTCTTATTTTTCATATCCCTCTGGAAGTGTTGATGAAGGAGCAGAGAAGGGAAAATGCCACCCAGCCCTATTCCCCAAAAATTTGTTGCTTAAGAAAAGTCAGGATAGAGATGCTACCTTCTAACTTGCTGTGTGACCTTGGGAAAGTCACTTTACCTCTCTGGACCTCAGTTTCCTCATGCAAACTGGAAGAGTTGGATTAAGTCATCTCTCAGTTTGATTCCCTGCAACAACCGTAAATCCCAGTTGCTTTGTCTGGATTAACTGTTTGGAGAAGTCAGTGGCATCAGGTGGATGAGGTGTGACAGCAAAACCAGCTAGATGGAATGGGACTCATCAGACCAGAATCCAAAATCATACTCAGCACCAACAGACTCTGTACACATACTGGATGCTTTGCATTAATTTTCCTATTTAATCCTCACCCAAAAACCGTGTAAGATCATTGTTATTGTAACAAGGTGCAGCAGTGGTTCTCAAAGCGTGGCCTCCAGAACAGCAGTGTCAGCATCACTCGGGAACATCTTAGAAGTGCAGTTGCTCAGGTCCACCCCAGACCAAGTGAATCAGAAACTCTGAGGCTGGGGTCCAGCCATCTGCGTGTAACAATTCTCCAGGCAGTTTTGAGAACTGCTAAGGTATAGGAGCATATATACCTTAACACCTGCCACCAGAATTCCTCTTGCAGAAAAAACTGTCTTTACATCATAAAACAATGAAGAAGTTCTTGGGGTAAAAGATGGGACCCCAAGTGCTTTGAGTTGGCTTCCAAGGCATCAGAGAGAGGAAGGGGAGAATTTGATGTTCCCAGGACTATCATGGAAGGAAGGGGTGAGGAGGAGAGGGAGACAGGAGTGAGGAAGAGAAACACCAGGAAGGTGGGGAGGGACTGTGTGATGCAGTCGCACCCCAGGGTCCCCGAGAGATCGTCAGCAAGGTCCACTAAGTTCAAATGCCTGGCATGAGCCCTGTTTCACAGATGAAGGAAGGACTGGGCATCACGTCGGAGCGGATGCAATGAAGGAGAGCAGCAGTGCTCAAAGCCCCAGAGGACCAGGGGCCCAGCCAACACACCAGTTGACCTGGGGAGGAAGTGGGGGAGGCTAGCCCCAGGGGAAGAGGGTGCACAGCCAGTTTTCAAACCCAGGTCTATCTGAATTCAAAGCCCTTCCCCACCCTCTCTGAGGACAAAGCAAAACTCTTGGGCTAATGAATTTACTAGAAAATGGAGATGGGGAGAAGGGACAATCATGCAAAGGGAGCCAGGAAAGTGGGAGGAAGCAAGGAAGAAATACTGAGAGCTGGTGCTCAGTAGGTCCAGGATGAAGGGCCTATTCAAATAAGGCAGGTAGGAGACATGCTGGGACCTGGCTCCTTCCCTCCATTCTTTGAAAAAACAGAATGACCCCTGAGAAAAGACTTACAACAACTGAACATAGGTAGTTCTACCATCCAAAAAGCCAGGTTGCCAACCTGCCCGTACACAGCACCTCCCATTACTTTTTAGTGTTTTGTAATTAAATGTAAACAGAAGGATCACTGTACATTGAGAAAAGTTTCCAACATTAAAAACAGACAAAGCAAAACAAGCAAATGAACAGAACAGTGAAGAGGAAATTGGGGAAACTAACACAATGCAGAATCCGAAACTATCTAATAAGACATGTATCCTGCCACCAGAATTCCTTTTGCAGAAAAAACTGTCTCTACTGAAAAAACAATTAAGAATCTTAAAACTGTAACTCAACCCTGTAATAACCTCAGGGATGAGTATAACAGTTGCATTCTTGAAATGAGAGCCAAATGTTATAAATGAGGAACAAAGAACAAAAATAGCTCTTTGGAATTAAAAATACGATGACTGAAATTAGAAATTCAGTTCAGATGTTTGGAACTAAAGGAGAGAGAGAAGCCAGAGAAATAGGCAAAAGTACAATATAGGGATCAGAAAGGACAGGCACAGAGCTGCACTGAGCCTCTGTAGTCCCAGCTGTCTTGCAAGAGGCCTGGCTACACCCTGGAATCACTTGCAGACTCTTTTAGAATCCCAACACCAGGCCATATCCCAGACCAACTAAGTCAGGATTCTGGGGGTCAGACCAGGCATACATATTTTTTAAAGCTCTCCAGGTCATTCCACTGGGCAGCCAAGGTGGAGACTCTCTGACTGAATGGAAACAGCCTTCTAATAAAAAAGCAAAATAAGTGTAGTAAATAGAGACAGGGTCTGGTTAGCTCCATCTTGGAGGGAGTTAGGATAGGTTTAGAAGGGGTTTGTAGACAAGGAACGCCATAACGAGGAATAGTGTAGCTTATGTAACAGTTACCTGGAGACATTGTGTTCAAGGGCATCCTTGTACTGCGTGCTGACTGTGGCTTCCCCCACTGACTTGGCTCCGAGTCAGGATTAGAGAAGTCATGTGACTGCATAACCACCTGGCTGGCCTGGTTTCCCCTGGGCACTGCTGCTTGGAAGGAAGCCTTGGAAATGAACCCCTGGGCAGGGAAAAGGTGAATGCCCACTGTCAGAGCAACCCAGGCATCCAGCTAAAACAGAGAATCCACAATAGTGACCGGTTTCCACATGGCCAGTGTATGCTCGGCAAACTATTAGGGAACTTATAGCCTAGCAAGTTCCATGTTCTCTACTCCACAGAGGAGGAGACGGAGGCTCAGGAGGGGCCACCTGCAAGAGCTCCCACAGGCTGTACATGCAGGGGCCGGCACTTGAATGCAGGCTGGCCCGACTCCATGTTCATCCCACTAATGCCATGGTCCCCTTTAGCTGGGCTTCTCCCACTGCTGAGGTGGGAAGGAAAAGAGGCAGTGAGTGAGCATCCCTTCTCTCCCATCCCAAAGCCTCCCCCTGATGAGGGTCAGCCCTGCCCCTCGCACCACATACACTGCCTGGCACTGGCTCGGTAAGGGTTTGTTGAACTGAATGATCATGAGCCATCATCCTCCTAGGGGGCTTGAGCCTCAGGAAAACCAGCCAAGGTATTCCAGGAAGGCCAAAGCTAGGGTGGTACCGTGTGCCAGGAGTGAGCCCAGGCCCTCCTTTCCAGAGGGTTAGAAGGGGGAGGATTCTCAAACTGAATCAGGGTGCATTATACCGGCACCCCTCAGGGGGCAGGGGTCTCAGGCCTGCTTTGGTCGACATCTTTCCCAATCTTGCCTGCACCTTGGGGCCATCTTATAACATCACTGGGTTCCTCGGCAGTGTTCTTGCCATCTTCTGAAAAGCACATGGCCATCTGGGGACAACCTGCCTGCCTTTGTATCTCAAGTTTTGCCTTCATCCTCCACTGCCCGTTGGGATTGATGGAGCTTGGTATTTGCCTGTCTAGGGGGAGGACACTCTGGACATGAATGAGAGCCTTTGGGCCAAGATGCTGGAGGCTCCAACTGCCATGCAGAAATGCTTTGGTGCCCAGAGTCACTGTGGGCATCGTCAGATGCCAAGGGCACGTGGGACACGAGGAGTCTCTAAAGGACAAGACTCTCTGAATTGTAGGTGGAAGTCACAGCAGTGGACTCTCTCTCCCGTCTCCTGCTTTTGATGGGGTGTGGGTCTGAAGGGAATTTGCTGAGCTGGAAAGCTGCATGAAAGGATTGCTGGGGAGTTGGGGCCAATGTAAACACACTTCTAAAAGTGCCCTGAGTGTGGGACTACATATTGCTGCCCTTACAAGGACCGCAGGTATGGGGCTAAAGTGGCCTGAAATGCTTCTCGTTATGCTGGTCTCAGCTTTATCCGCCCTCCTCTGGAATCCCAGGATGACTGTGCGTACCAAGCAGGAGAGGTCTGGTCTCCATGTTGGAATCCTGGAGTAGGGTCTTTGTCAGGAAAGCTGAGTAGAAAGCCCCACGGTAGACTTCTACCCATTCCATCAGGGCATGGGACCCTGTCATCCCCAAGGTCATATGAAGCCAAATAGCTCCCCATTCATCTACTCAAGAGTCACCCCTCTTCACCCAGCCCAGACATAAACCAGCAATGCCAGAATGGTACTGGTTAGGTATCCAGAGCCAGAGCAAATGAACTTTATTGTTCCACCAGCAGAAGCCCTCTACTGCATTTTAGAACCCACTGCAGCAGCACCCAAAGGAAAGCCTGACCCATGAGGCAGTCTGAGAAGAGAGACCCTGGACCACCACTGAAATGATGAGGAGTTGAGGCCTTCAGGGGCAGCCAACCTTAGTGACAGGCTTTGAGCAACTTTAAGGCATGTATTCGCAGTAAGCCCTCTCAGGGCCAGGCCCTGGGCCTGGGCTCTATATGAAAAAAGGAGATTGGGCTTTAGGGTTAGGGCTGAATAGAAAGCCAATTCCAGCCCTGGAGGCAATGGCCTTGGCTTTTGAGGCCAGTCTCTCTCAGAGTCGGCCCCTTGGACAGGGCACACAAATGGGGCGGGGGCTGCAGGCTGTGCGTGCTGCACCAGGACCACAGGAGGCCGCAGGGAGACGGGGGAGGCATGACTTGGAGGGCGAGTGGTCAGGTGCACATGGGGTGCAGAGGAGCCTAGGAGAAAGAGGAAGGTCAGATTAGTGTGATTTTCCAATTGCTGTTTTCAATAACTCAGAGCACCTTAAATATCACCTAGTCCTGCCCCTTGTTTTACCAAGAAGAAACTGAGGCTCTGTAGAGAAAATGGAAATTCCTATGATCAGGATTCTCACCTGACCCTGGTCCACTAGCTCGCTACACACATGTGGGCAATGCATTGTTATTGACTCTATATGAAAGAGCTCCACTCAGTGCTCTGGGCTGCATGGCTGCAGGAGAGCAGAGAGGCTAGAGTGGTGGCAGCGTGGAAGACTAGAGACTAAGAGGGCTTTGGAGGTGGAGAGCCCGGAGGCAGAGACTGGCTTGCTGCATGCAGACCTGCCCTGAGGTGGATAGGATTCTAGCACTTGACCTGCCACCATGGGAATAAAGCTGGGCATAAACCCTTGCACCCCAAGAAAGTTCCATTGTCATTTTTTGGTCCCACCAAATCAAGAGGGAACTTGCTCGGGGCTGAAACCCACTGGCAAGACCGGCTCCAAGAGAAAAGGTACCTGCCAATGTCATATGATGAATATGCAATAAGACCAGAACTAAAACCCTGAGCTCCTGACTCTAAATGCTGGCTCTTCTCAGGCACCATGCTGTCTCCGGGTACTCACTTGCAGTCCTCGCTCTCCAGCAGCCCCTGGTACGTGTTGATCTCACCCTCCAGCCGGGCCCGCACGTCCAGCAGCACCTGGTACTCCTGGTTCTGCCGCTCCAGGTCACCCCTGATCTCGGCCAGCTGGGACTCCACGCTGGTGATCATGCGCTGCAGCTGGGACAGCTGGGAGCTGTAGCGGGCCTCGGTCTCCGTTAGCGTGGACTCCAAAGCATTTCTCTGTGAAGGCAAGGATTATGTAGAGAAAAAGAAGGTTAGAGGTCAGAGAAGGAAACAAAGAAGATGCACTTAATCTATCTGGGTTTCAGTGAGTCCCCAAAATCCAAGAACAAAAGCTCAGAGACTCAAAGCCCACTCTGAGCCAGGATGAACCACCATCAAACATCTATCTCCTTTGAGATAGCCAATTAGGCCCCAGAGCCTCCTTGATATACAAAGCTTCTCCCCTGTTAATGATATTTCCAAGTAACTAATCATCACTCAGAATGAATCTGAAGCCACAGACTCAGGAGCTGCCGCCAGGACATGTTAGTTGCTCTAGGTGTTCTGTCTTCTACCACTGGGACATTCGTGAATGGGGGCAGGGCCCTCATTCTCTCTTCTCTGCACAGAGAATGCCTGGAGCCTGCCTGTGTGGTCAGAGCATGGAAGCTAGAGGACTCGTGTGCTGCTAGGCTTGGTCTCCCAAGCAGCCCCACTCTAGCCTAGGGCTCACCGTGCTGTGCTGGGCCTGCAGCTCTATCTCCAGGGCATTGACCGTGCGTCTCAGCTCAGTGATCTCCACCTGGCAGGACTGCAGCTGCTCCGAGCTGGACACCACCTGCTGGTTTAGCTCCTCAGTCTGAAACACACACACAGGACCTAGTCAGGAATATGGGGGACTCAGCCACAGAGGCCTACAGAGCCACTTAGCCTCAAGAGCCAAGAAGGACCTTCCACATCACCCAGTCCAGCCCATTCATTTCATCCTTGAGGACCCTCTTGGTTAGAGGATAGCAACCTGCCCCAGGTGCTCAGGGAGGTTGAAGCAGAGCCAGGACTCAAACTCAGCATCTTGATTCAGAGCCTCAGGCTCACTTCTCTGTGACCCACCCTGTGTCTCTGTTGTGCTGACTCCATTTCCAGGTACCTACCTGGGTGTTGAACCAATCTTCAGCATCCTTGCGATTATTCTCCACCAGGGTCTCATACTGACACCTCATCTCTTCCAGAACACGGTTCAGGTCAACAGGTGGGGCTGCATCCACCTCGACACTGAGCCAGTCGCCAAGCTGGCAGCGCAGTGCATTCACTTCCTATGGCACAGACCGGAGTCAGCACTAACTTTCCCGGCTGGCTGCCTCATCACCCTCCTCCCCCTCACCTCCCTGCCCACCAACTTCCCAGGCTCACCTGCTACCCATGCTAACTGCTCCCCGTGCTCACCTCCTCGTGGTTCTTCTTAAGGCACAGCAGCTCCTCCTTCAAGGACTCCACCTGGGCCTCCAGGTCAGCTTTACACAAGGTCAGATCATCCAGGATCCTGCGCAGGCCATTCATGTCTGACTCCACCAGCTGCCGCATGGACAACTCCATCTCGTACCTGTGGGCACGTCACAGGGCACCTGAAGCTGCCCTTCCTTTTTAGATCTAGTCAGATCCCACCCCAGGCTGTTCTGGTGCTGTGTGTCCCACCTCAGTGCCTCAGTGACTTAGTGCAGCCAAAACTCTGACTGTGGGCATCACCAACAGCCATTTCTACCAGCCCCCAACCAAGGGTTAATCAGGACAACTCACTTGGTCCTGAAATCATCAGCAGCCAGCTTGGCATTGTCAATCTGCACCACCAGCCTGGCATTCTCTGACTTGGTGCACAGGGTCTAGGGACATAAAAAAGTGACTTCAGTGAAAGGAAGGACAGTCTGCTGTCTACAGTTCCCCAAAGCTAGCCGGGGCTGCCTTTGGAGGGAGAGAGTCATCCATCCCTGGACTCCTGGCTTCTGAGGCTCATGAAGGCTTACAGATGTAGGGCTCAGGGCAGGAAGCCTAAGGTCCCTTCCAGTGTGGAGCACCTGTGACCCATACCCTGGGCTACAGAGGGAGGCATGGAAATGCTGATGGAAAGCCCTGGCACGGTGACTTCCTCTTCCTGCTGCCCAGGCTACTGGGCGCCCAGGGCAGGTCACTAACAGCAGTGTACTCTGTGATTCCCTGGTCAAATATGGTCCCTCTCAGGAGCCAGCTGGGACTCTCAGGGGATATGGCCAGGGCAAGAAGAAAACTTCCGACAGGTTTTCCTTCCCTGAGTTAGTTACAGGAAACCTGATCTGCACCAGACACATCAAATCTAACCCCTTCACCTTAAAACAGAGAAATTAAAACTCAGAGAGGTGGGCTACACTACCAAAGGTCACACAACCAATTGGTTCATAGACCCGTCTGTTCAATCTCTAGCTCCACTAACTGCCAATGGATCACCTTGAATAAGTCATGTAACCACCCTGAGACTCCATGTTCTCATCTGTAAAATGAGCTGATGATACCTCCCTCACAAGATTACTGGGAGGAGCAAATGAGGCCACAGATGCGAACATTCTCTGTGACTTCTGACGTGCCTCATGGGGGCAGAGCCACCACCACTGATGTTCTGGCTTCCAGCCCGGTGCTGGTGACATCAGGTTCCTGGGCCACCAAAGCTGCTGGGGACCTCTCACCTTCTTCTGGAGCTCCTCGATGGTCCGGAAGTAGGACCGGTAGTCGGGGCACAGATAGGGCACCTGCTGTTCACTCCACTCCCGGATGCGGTTCTCCAGGCTGGCATTCTCCTGCTCCAGCTGGCGCACCTTCTCCAGGTAGCTGGCCAGGCGGTCGTTCAGGCACTGCATGGTCTCTTTCTCGCTGCTGGTGAGGATGCTCTCCCCGAACCAGCCCCCACCCATGCTGTAGCTGGTGGCAAAGCCTCCGGAGGGGAGGCAGAGAGCAGGGAGGCAGCCGGAGGCCCTGCAGCTGCTCCTGCCTGGCCCAGCTGAGCACGAGGAGAAGCTCCAGGCTCCACGGGAGAGGCTGGGGAGCCTGCAAGAGCGACTGGAGTAGGTTGTGGACACACGAGCAGAGCCCCCACCGGCCCCTCCCGGGCCCTTGAAAGATGTGGAGGAGAAGCTGGCCTTGGGGCACTTGGAAGCCATGGCCGCAGCAGCCCAGACACAGGTGATAGATCTTGGAGGCCAGACACCCCCAGTGCAAGAAGCTGCTCCTCACCCCGGGTTTATATCTCTGCCCCAGTGGGCGTTGGTCTCTACAAAGTGTTTTTTCCTCATTAAAGTTAATACCACTTTCTATCAGAACCCCTCACTAACCTGTTATTAACTTCCCATGAACATTTCCTGGCCTTGTAAAAGGGAGCCCCGTTGGACTGGTGGCCACATCAAGACTCCTCATCACCAGCCCATGGTGTTGGGAAGACCAAGCCTCCATCAGTTCTTCAAAGGCGCCTGTCCTCAGAGCCCAGACCTCAGTCTCCTCCATACAGGGTGTGGGAGTCCTACCACAGGCTTGACTTTCTCCAGAAATGTCTTCTTTTATGGGCCCAGGGAGGAGAGGAGGCCTCTGGGTTGGCAACAGATGACAGAAGAGTGAGCCCCACTGGCTGCCCCCAGCCTCTCCTCCCTGGAAATGCTGTCCCCGCACAAAGGACATGGCTGAGCTGAGAGCCTAGCTGAGCCTCCCTGGGTGTTTGTGTTTCCCACGCGTGTGAGAACAGGGCTCCACCCAAGCCCTACTAAACCGTAGCCTCCTAGGAACATGCTTGGGTCTCAGCAAGGGCCACCCTGGAGCCACAGGGCTCAGGGAAGCCACAGCAGCAAAGACTCGGGAAGCCCCGTGCTGTGTGTACAGCCCCAGGGGTACATGGGTCCTCAGGCAGGGCCCACACCTATGCTGCCCAGAAGGGGTTTCTGTCCCCCACACAGTCCGTTAATAACAGCCATCATTCACTGAACACTTAGCACCTGCCAGGCCCCCTGCTGAGCTCTCTCCACACATTCTCTCCTTCACGTCTCACCACAGCCTCGAGATTGGCACCAATATCCCTTTCTAACAGGATTTGAATGCCCATGGCAGTGGTGGGTGGCTGGTCCACTGGTCCTCCACTCAACGGAGGTCCTCGGATTGTCTTGTATTTCAGCACTATCTTCCCAGGAAGACTGGACGTTCGTGGGGGCAAGGACCGACCCCATACTTCTTTTTGAAATTCCATAGTGTCAAGCACAGTGTTGGACTTCTAGGTGTCTCTGGATGAATGGGTGAATACTTGGCCCATGGTGAATAGTGCTAAGTAAGGAAGCAAAGAAAGGATTTTGAGAGAAAGGGATCATAGAAATCAAGGGAATGAGAAAGGAAGGGGAAAGTGGGTAGGGAGCCAGGAGGGAAAGATACTTCCAAAGTCAGTCTTATTGTCCCTCCTCTTACAGAGGAGGAAACCGAGGCTCACAGACGGAAGGCAGTTAGGCGTCTCCGTGCAGGTGAGCAGAACCCTGCCAGACTGTCCAGTCCCTCTGGCAGAGAACAAAATACTCTCTGGGTCAGAAGCCTTTCTTATGGCTGCCCATAAGCCAATTCAATGCTGAAGGTGTGGCTAAGAAATCTTGATAAGTTGTTGTAGTTAATTTTATGAAACACATAATATTGTTAAAAAACACAAAATATTGCACATGGCCTGCAAATTGCTCTGGTCTGTTTTCATTCTTTCTTAGCATTCTTCCTCATAAAACGAATTACCTAGACTCCTTAGCAGCAAAACTAATGTTGTTAAAAAATATCCTAATAATATTACCTACAGGACCTTTGTACTCTGCTCAGATGGGATCTGTGCTGCCCCCAGAACCTGCCATGGATTCACAGAGCCATGTTCTAAAATACCCTCTGCCCTCGTTCCTTCTCCTGCCCATTCTTCAAGGTTTCCATCAATTCCAAGTCTCCCCTGAGCCTTCCCTGGTGCCCCCAGCTCTCAGTGACCTCTCCCGGCCCTGAGAACCTGAAAGCCTGCCCCGCAGCCCACACTTGCCATCCCCGATGCTGTGTGGTAGTATGTGGGGTTGCCCCCTCAGCTCTGCTGTCAGCTTCTTGGGGATCATGCCTGTTAGCCACTATTTGGTCCAGCTGCTTCCCCCACCCATACTTTTCATTAGATACCCACATCGGCACTGGGTCTGCCCCGAACAGGTTGTTCATAGGTATCTATTGACTGATTAATTGATCTGAATATGTGTGAATGAGAAAGATAGCCAGAGATACTATATGGAAAGTACAAACAAGATCAGAACAACTTTGAAATAGTGCATTATATTCACTCTGGGGAAGTTTAATACAATTTAATGTTTTTCACACCTCTCTCTTGATGTCAAGAAAAGAGCAATGACATGGGAGTCACAAGGCCTGAGAGGGCCTCCTAAAGATGCCACTTGCTGGGCCACTGCCAAGCCCACAACAGTGTTGAATTCTCATTTGCACATCAGTTAGTGACTTAAACTGGAATTCAGTTAAAGGTGGGTGTGAGGGTGAGAACAAGAGGGGTTCCTTAACCAGTGCAGATGCTCTGAGCAGTGTAATAAAAAGCGAGAAGAAGCTGCATAAATAAAATGCCCACAACCACCCAGAGCTGTCTGAGTACATGAGATGAGGCTGTGAATGCGTTCTGTGAACTGTAGAGTGCTCATGAAAAGGAATGCTATACAGTGTGAGGAGTCGACCAAGTGATTATCTGCCAGGTCACAACCCTGAGTGGTCTGTCTGCTCCAACACAACAGCAAACAGCTTGAACTGTGGCCAGAATAGAAGGCTCAGTCCACTCCCCAGGCCCTGGCTGTTGCATGCATCCCTGGCTGTTTTCATTTCCACCAGGATGGGGTGTGATGCATTCTGTACACGCCTGGCCCCCACCTCCCTGAGCTTCCAGGCAGAGCAGGGAGGTGCAGCCTCAGGCCCCAGAGCAGGAGTACAGCGCACAGAGAGTGGCAGGGCAGGGGTAAGATCATGTGGACTGACCCATTTCCCAGCCTCTTGCCCCAAAGCTGAGTGGACCCTCTGTGGCCGAAGCCTTTGGGTTCACTGTCCAGCTCTGAAGGTGCTGCTGACCAACAGCATTCTTCTGTGTAAAAAAGCTTGGGCCCACCCAATGAGGTTTTCCGTTCCCCACTCTCAGACCGGGGACTCTTGTTTTACCACCAGCACTCATCGCTACCACTTCCTGAGTGCTGTACACACATCATCCCATTGGAGTCTCCCAGCAACCCCATTTCACAAATGAACCAGAGAGGTCATGTGATGGAACTCAGCACCCACTGCTGGGCACAGAGCCAGGCCCAGCATGGGATGCTCTGGTTATGCCTGTGTGCATCTTCCCCTAAGCTCTGAGAAAAGTTTGCTGGACCTCTGGCCTGTCCAGCAGGTGGACAGATTCATTTTGGGTAAGTGGGGTGAGAAACCGTGTGCTGGGAAGAGCACCAGCATTAGAATAGCTGGACAATGGCTTCATCTCTGCTACTCACTGCTCTGTGGCCTGGCCAAAGCAGAGAGACACTCCCCATTCTGGTGGAAATGAAAACAGCCAGGCCTGGGGCAAGCCACTGCCCTCTGCAACCCATGTTCTCAACTAAAGAATGAGGCAGAGGGACAAGGAAGCCATGGGGCCCTCAGACTTCTCACAGGCCATGCTTCCCTGATCAGAGGAGTGTCCAGGCCCTGCACAGTAAGTCTCCACACTCAAAAAGGCCAGGCTCAGCCAGGAGAATTGGGGACACTCTGAACTCTGTGCCCACAGTGAGGTTCCCCACCTCCACCCCATGTCTTCTACCCCCACACTTCACTTTCTCTGCTGCCTGTATCCAGTCCTGGGACATGGTTTCACCTGACTTTCCTGCATTCATCTCCCAGTTGACCCTGACTCCCCTCCCTGGGGTGGTTGGCCGAGGCTGGCTGCCTGAAGTTGGCCTCCCCCTGGTTGGTCCTGGAATCTGCTCTTCTGAACTGTCCCCAGTTTCAGTCCTGCAGATGGGCCAGCAGGGTAACAGAGCTGGACATGGGAGGAACAGCTGCAGGGAGGAGAGAGGTGGCTCCCAGGTCCCAGCAGGGCTGCTGAGGAGGACTAGCTGGGAGCCTTTGCCTCTTCTGGGGCCATCCCAGGCAAGAACCATGGGCAGAGCCACACCTGTGCTTCATGGGACGCACCCAACCAGACTGGATCGTCATCTGTTCTCATGGACCAGGCCTGACATATCCCCATTATTAAATACTTTGAATCACCCTGTTACTTCCTACCACCTGGAGCCAGAGAAGACAGACCTGAAACCAAAACCCACAACCACTACAACCCCTGATCAAATAGGAGAATAGACAGAGTCAAATTTGCTATGCCAAGAGAACACACTTTATTGGGGAAATTTCCAGGGAAGCCTAGTTTCGCATAGAGTAAAAGCAGTTAAGTCTAGAAACATGATATAAGAAGTATATTGATAGAAAAATCTGCCAAGCAGGGAACCCCTCTAGGAATTGGGGAGAGTAGGGAGGAGGCTGTGAGGAGCTGGGTCACAGGGCTCTCCACCTTCCTGCAGGCCAGGCTCTGTGCCAGGGGGCTGGGCGGGCTTACAGCGGGCAGGGCTGCAGGTGCTCCCTGGAGGAGATGACCTTCCCATCTCGGATCTCCTCTGTAATGGTGCGGATCTGGGTGCTGATCTGGGGGCCCGGGGCACAGGGCACCATGGGCGCGCAGGGCACAGCCGGGATGTAAGGCACTCTAATGGCAGGCTTGCATTCGGTGGTGCAGGGGTGCGGGGGCAGCCTGGGGAAATGAAATCATATCAGGGTGCATTTGAACTGTGATTCGTATTAAAAGGATTTAGGGCATCAATTGAGAGCGGTGGGTGATGACAACAAATGGCCTCAGACAGTGCCTCTGAAATCCCTGAGCACTGCAGGCATGAAGACTAGACACTCCCGGCCAGAATACTGATTTGAGAAGCAAAGTGTTGGGGGGTGAATTCCCAGATTCCTTCTGGGACTAGATGGAATCCCAAGGGAAAGGCTTGTCATCGGGGCAGTCACCACACCGCAGCCCTGGGGTCAGGGTCCCAGCGGGTCCTTTCCCCAAGCCCGGTGCTCCAGGGCCACAGGCCACTCACTTGGAATCTTCTCCCTCCAGCAGGCGGCGGTAGGTGGCGATCTCCGACTCCAGCCTGGCCTTGACATCCAAGAGGACCTGGTACTCCTGGTTCTGCCGCTCCAGGTCACAGCGGATCTCGGCCAGCTGGGACTCCACGTTGGTGATCATGAACTGCAGCTGGGACAGCTGGGAGCTGTAGCGGGCCTCAGTCTCCATTAGGGTGGACTCCAAGGAACTCCGCTGTGACGAGAAAGAGGAAGAGCTGCCAACGGGAGGGAATTGGGAATCCCACCCAGCGACCCCCAGCCCTGCGGGTCTGTGTATCATTTGTGACCATGCCCCCCGTGATGACCCATAGGCCAGTGGGTCAGGGAGGTTGCTGCCACCATTGCCAGTCTCTTAGGCAGAGGCCACTCACCATGCTGTGCTGGCCCTGCAGCTCTATCTCCAGGGCGTTGACCGTGCGTCTCAACTCGATGATGTCAGTCTGGCAAGACTGCAGCTGCTCCGAGCTGGACACCACCTGCTGGTTCAGCTCCTCGGTCTGAAACCCACAAGAGGGCCCAGAGCATGGTCAGACCAAGTGAAGCCACTTTAGAGGGGAACCAGCACCCCAGGAGCTTGTGGTCGTGGGCTGCCCCACCCCACCTGGGTGTTGAACCAGGCCTCCACATCTCTGCGGTTATTCTCCACCAGGGTCTCATACTGGCATCTCATGTCATCCAGAATCTTGTTGAGATCCACTGTGGGGGCAGCATCCACCTCCACATTCAGTCGGTCCCCAAGTTGGCCTCGGAGTGCATTGACTTCCTATAAAGAGAAGACAAGATGGCATAAGGTTGCAAAATGGATGCTGGGTTGGGGGTTCGAATGACTGGCTCCAACTCTCCTCCCCCACTTGCCAGCTGTATCACATTAGACAGGATGCCTAACCTCTCTGAGCCTCGTCTCCTCCTGGACCTGGACCTACCCCTTCTGGGGACTTGGGAGAGTAAAGTGAGATGATGCAAACACCAGGCAAGTGGAATTGTTGTCAGGCACTAGACTCCAAATGGAGACTTGGTGTCATGGGCAGGAGTGTGGGATCTGTGTGACCTTAGGCCAGTGACTTAACCTCTCTGCCTCAGCCCTCCCATCTGTACAATGGAGCTTGTAACAGAGTTATACTTCCTGGGATTATTGTGAGGATGAAATGAAATGACAATGAAAAACAAAGTGCTGCAAACAGCTCCTGGCACAGAGTCAGTGGCAGCAAACGTCAGCTGGAGGTACTGTGGAGGGGATGTCACAGTCGTGACTTGGGAACATTGGAACGTTGCATGGTCCTGGCCTCACCTCCTCGTGGTTCTTCTTGAGACACAACAGCTCCTCCTTCAGGGACTCCACCTGCATCTCCAGGTCGGCCCTACACAGGGTCAGCTCGTCCAGGATCCTGCGCAGGCCATTGATGTCGGCCTCCACCAGCTGCCGCAAGCCCAGCTCTGTCTCATACCTGCGCACACAGAATGCCGCCAAGTGTGCGGCAAAGGAGCCATGCACAGGCAAGGGCCCTCTGCCCCACTGTCCCACTACAGTGGCTGATTTGGGGTACACAGCACGGCGGTCCTTTCCCTTGACCCGGAAGGGATCCAGGGCCTATGCCATATCTCCCACTTACATCTCTGGCCTTGCTCCCACCTCACCAGCTCCCAAAGGCAGGAGACAGAGGCACGAGAGCAGCCTGGCACACCTTCCCTGATCAGCCTACTCACTTGGTCCGGAAATCATCAGCAGCAAGCTTGGCATTGTCAATTTGCAGGACAAGCCTGGCATTCTCAGCCTTGGTCAGCAGGATCTGGGGAACAAGGGGTGCTCTGTGAGCTAGGGAAGGCCCAGCAGTGTGGGGGTGAGTGGGAGGGGAGAGCCCAGCTCACAGAGGCCATGCTTCTAAGTACCACTGGCACCTTCAGCATTCCAGCCCTGAGCCCAGGCAAACTTCCGTCCTGGGAGGAACATCACAGGAAGTCAGTGGCCATCAGTCCTAGCATCTGTAGCCCCAAGAGCGGCGCTGTGGGGTCCCCCAGGGTGGGGTGGAGAGAACCAGGCCATCCTGGATTCAGGTTCTGCATCCAGCATTCACAGGCTGTGGGATCTTGAGCAAGTGCTAAATCTCCCTAAAATTCAACTTTGCCATCTGTTAAATGGGTCCAGTAATACCAAGCTCTCCAAGATGAGGAAGAAATAATCCAAAGGATAGGAAGGTGTCAGGCACAATGCCTGTGTCCAGAAGGGGCTTGGCACATGTTATTCTCCTTCCTATAGTGAGAGGATGGGAGGGATGGCTGGCAACAGGTTATGAGCAAGTGAGAGACCAGCAGAGAGGTCTGGGTCCCTCAGCAAACCAAGACGCTAGAGAGAAAGGCTTGCTCTGACAGAACTCCCAAGAATACCATCCCTTCCACAGTCCTCTGGGATGAGACAGACCCTTCCCAGGGGTTGGGCTGCCATAGTGGGGCCAGGTCCCCATTACCTTCTGCTGGAGATCCTCGATGGTCTTGTAATAGGACTGGTAGTCTGGGCAGATGTACGGGATCTGAGCTTCATACCACTCCCGGATGCGTCTCTCCAGCTCAGCGTTCTCACGCTCCAGCTGGCGCACCTTCTCCAGGTAGCTGGCCAGGCGGTCGTTCAGGAACTGCATGGTCTCCTTCTCGCTGCCATTGAAGGCGCCCTCAAAGAACAAGCCACCGCTCCCAAAGCCAGAAGGGTAGCACCCAGTGGACAGGTAGGGGCCAGGCAAGCAGCTCCCGAAGCCGGAGAGGCCCAGCCTGATGGAGGAGGCTGATCCCACAGCACCAGCAAGACTGGGAACCCTGCAGGAGCCTAGAGAGCGGACGGAGGTCACCCGGGAGAGGCTGCCTGCCGTGCCACAGAGGCCCTTGACAGACCCAGAGGAGAAGACTGGGGAGCAGATCTGGGTGGCCATGATGCTAGCAGAGGAAGGTCACAGGATAGCAAGGAGCTCAGGTTCTAGACTCTCAAGGCCTCTCTGGGGCGTTTATATACACTCTCCACGGGGTGTTGGCATTTACTCTTGGGAAAGCCTATTCCTATTCCAGAAAGCTAATCGCATTAGAATGTGATTTTTCCTACCCATCCAGAATTCCTTACCTTGTAAAAAAAAATTTTTTTGAATTTGGATTGCTAAGTCAGGACTCTCAGCTGTTGTCATTTCCTAGTAGAATGTAAACTTTATTGCCTCTTCAAAGATTGTACCAGAGCCCATAAACAGGGAGTAGCCTTATGAATGACATTTTGGTTCCTGCCCTTTCCGCGTGCCTTCTCCTGAGGAGCCCAGCCTGTCCACTCGTCAACTCCAGCCACTCTCCTGCACCTGGGCCACCAGGCTGGTGGAAAAGGAACAAAGGAAACTAAAATTCGTGGAGCTATTATGTGCCAGGCTCACAGTTACTTCATTTATACCTCACAGCAATCCCAGGAGCAGGCCAATACTGCCTCCATTTTACTGATGGGAAGAAAGTGACCCTCAGAATGGTTAAATAAAGAAGCATGGTCAAGGTGAACAGGGAGTAACCCAGTCTGGATCTGAAACCAGGGCTCTTGGACCCAAAATCCTGCACCCGTGTCCTGCTGCTTCCCCCTCACCCCAAGTGCAGACACCCAGAACTTAGGGGCAGGAGACCTAGGTCTAAATCCTGGCTCTGCTGACAATCTGCCCTGTGATATGAGTACTTCACTCCCTCTCTGGCATCCTCAGTGTCCCCACTGGGACAGTAGGGTCATCGGCCTGGCCTGCCTCTTCACAAAGAGACAAGCAGGGTCAAACAGAACAGAAGCAAAGGTGTTTTGTAAAACACAGATTGCTGTCAAAATACTGATTAGTCTTTGATGATGGTTTAAGACTATGGCCAGCAATGGATTGTGGGTGTGAGCCCACGAATGGGGCTGCTTTAGAGGACAGTTTCCTTTTCGGCCTGCCGATCCCTGAACCTCAGAGGACAGAATCGGGACCCCAGGACAGCCTGCCCTGAGCAGCCCACTCAGTCCCTGAACAGGTTACCAAGGTGGTCCGTGCAGGCTCTTTGGACAAACAGGAAATAAAAAGAACAAAGCCCTGCCAGGTAGTCAAGCAAGTCAGGAGGACAACCTGAGAATCAAGGACCACAGGTAAATGTGGTCGTCCACCTCACAACAGGGCCTTTCCCGAGGCTTGGACAACCTGCTTACTCTTCTCCCATGTAGACTTTGTTTGCAAAGCTGGCGTTTATAGAAGCATTTATGTGCTTCTGAAATTGCAATTTACCAACCTCTTAAAATGCTTTATAAGCTTCTTTCTGAAATTACTCAGGAGGGTTGGCCATGGTGCGCACACCTCACCCAGTGCAATAGACACCTCAGATGGGAGTGAGAGTGGGGGCGTCAGGCCTGCAGAGCTCTGGCTGTCTCAGCAGCAGTTGTCTACGGCTGCTGCACCCTCTCTGCCCACCCAGCAGGGCCTAGACTGGGGCTGTCTTAGGGATTCTCCCCCTCGGCCCTGCTGGCATCACAGACTCCGTAACCCTTTGTTGTGGGGGCTTCCTACACATGGTAAAAGGTAACAGCATCCCTAGACCCTCCCACCAGGTGCGTAACAACCCCTAGGCACCCCCTCTCCCCCACACCCCACTATGACAACCAAAGATGTCTCCAGATCTTGCTAAATGTCCCCTGAGGGGCAAAACCACCCCGATTGAGAAAACACTAGACTATCAGGGCAGACCTCCTCTAAGCAACCCTTTGTTTTCTAGGACAACCAGTGCAACACCAGGCTGTTACTGTGGGGCCCACTCGGGCAAGTCCTTAATCCACCCGTGCCTCAAGTTACGTCATTAGAGACAGAGCACACTCGTCCTGAGGGCAGCCCCTTCGCCGAGCCTAGCACAGCTCTTCTGTTTGGAGTCTCTGGCTGATGGACATCTGGAGTTAATATTCGCATTTCCTTTTTTCTTTTAATCCCTCCACTGTGCAACCCACATCCAAAGATGATTCTAGGTTTCTCTCAGGGCAACTGAATAGTCAGGCGTCCGCTGCCCTGGCTGTCCCCCTCACTGCCAGCCAGTGCCTCAGGAGGGCCCACTGCCCCAGGGTCCCGACAGTTGCCCCCAGGGCTGGAGGATGGGATGAGCAGGGCAGAGAAGGTCTTTCAGTCAGCCACAGTCCTCTGACTCTCTCTGCGCTCCAGACTGCAAGGCCGCCTCTCGCCAGGAAGTGTGGGCAGGACCTCATGGGAGGAATTCCTCCGCTCTCTTCCACCCAGAACCCTGGACCCTCATGGGAGGGAGTGAGGCCCAGGAGGAACAGATGCTCTTCCTCTATCTGAGAAGAGAATCTGGGGCTCACAGAGCTGCTCGCCTCCCAGGGCAGGTTCAGGGGACCCCGCACACACCCCCAACCATGGTGGCCGGCCCTGGAGAAAATCCACCTGTTCCGTGGAAAGTAAACCAGGTAGAAGGTTTTCTTTCTTTCTGTGGAAAGTAAATCATCAGATTTTATTTCAAAATAGGGCTCTACTCTGAGACCATTCTTTCTAATGTTAATCAAAAATACATGGGGCTAAGGGTCAGGGGGCCTGGACCCCTGGTCAAGCTCTGCCCTAAAATCCTTGTGTGAGCCCTACCTTCTCTGGGAACCAGACCTCTAACCTGAACAGGAAGGGCCTGAACAAGGCAGCCTTGAGGCTCTTTTATCTCAGATGTTACAGGATTTAAGGCCTGAACATTTCCAGTGGAGCTGGCCCATAGTTACCTAGATGTGTTTTTTAGTCATTCACCACCCACCACCCCCACAGCGACTGTCCTTTCTCTGTCACCGACCCACAGAATAAAGAGGAATGACAGAGGTTCCACCATGACATGATTGGGTTTCCTTTTCTTTGCATGGAGCCCAGGTCCCCCTTCACCTCCATGCCCACACATCCCTAGAGAGCAATGGCGTGACCTCCTCCCGGCCTTCCTTCACAGACAGAAACAACATTAACCACCTCCCAAAGCCGTTCCCCAGAAGGCCCCTTTTGGAGTTGCAACATCACCAGACTGGAGAGCAGGCATCCCAGCAGTCTAGGCTGAAGTGACATCTCTGGCTAACTTAGCTGGGGAGTTGACTTTGCAGAAAGGTCTTTGGGGAGTGTCAGGCTAGGCAGTGGGTCTGCTGGGCCTGGATTCAGCCAGACTGTGGTTCAAGACACCTAATCCCTCTGAGCCTCAGGTTTCCCAAGAGGTGAATAGAGATCACAATACCACATTCACAGGGTTGTGAGAACTAAATTGAATGTGCTTGATAAACAGGAACACATTTCACAGATTTAAAAGATCAAAACTGTTCTTAGAACCCATATGTCTGAGCTCTAGACAAATGCTATTTCCAGGACATAAACTGCTCACCCTGGTTTCATAGGATACTGATTTGGAGGCCTAATCTAGCTGTGCAAGTGAAGACAGCTGCTCAAAGAGATGGTGTCCAGGGCAGCAGGGCTCCCTTGACCTGGCCTCTGACCCTTACTCTAGAAGCTTCCAAAAGCCACCTCCCACCCTCGCACAGGTGCTGGTTTTAGGACCACCAAGCTGTCAGGATGCTCTCTGCCTACCTTGGCCTCAGCTCCAGGGACAGGGGGAGAAGGCGAGATGTTGCTACAGGAACAGAAAACACCCTGGCTTTCCCCAAGCACATCTTGGAAGGCCACGAAGTTCAAAGTCAACCACTGAGTCTGTGGGTCCTTCTTTGGTAGAAAGAAATCTCCATTTTTTAATGAGTTTTCGTCTGAAAGCCAAGACTCTCCATAGGCAACAACTGCAGAAATCAAGCTGAGTTTCCTGCCCAGCTCTGAGCAGCCCCTTGAACACAGAACATGTCCAGCACAGCCTGTCAGTGTGCCCAAGGAGGAAAGGACTCCTTGGAGCAGGGTCCCTAGTTCCCTGCTTTTCTGGGCTGCGGTCAGAATGTGCCAGCCGCCCCACTGCCACAGCACCCCAAAGCCATCAGAGGAAGCAGATAGTGGATCGTGGGGCAGCAAGTCTCCTTCCTACAAATAGGCACCAAAAGGAATAAGATCATTCAGGGAGTCCAGTAGCTTTCTGCTCGCTTGGGGCTCATCTTCCTTGTTTTCTCCCACTACCTATTCCATTTTTGATGTCCATACACACAGGTGTTGCAAAATTTCCCACTATCTAAGAGGCATTTAAGAAATGCTGATCCTGTGTTTTAATCTCTTTAGGCCCAACCCAGCACCCACCCAGAAAACAGGGAGACTCACACCAATTTCGTTTCCCCCAGCAGCTGCTTTTCCATTCTAACAAAAAATTATCCAAACAACAAAACACCCCAGATTCCTAGCCCCTCCCAGAAAAACACGATTACTGCACGTTCCATGTCAACCGCATCAAAGCTCCAGCCAAATCTGCTGCCAGCTGGTGTTAGATTCTAGTATAGACATGCAGTAGTATGATGTTTAAGGAAGCATGGGAGGGAAAAAAATTTCAATGAAGACATTCGAGCATCAATTTAACCTGCCCAAAGAATCAGAGAAAGGTTTCGCTCAGTCAGTTTTGATGGTGGAAGACTCAAGTCTGTTTGGCCTGCTAAGGATAGGGTTGCCAGATGTAGCAAATAAAAATACACATGGTGCTTGGGACATACTTGTATTTAAATAATTATTCATTGTCAATCTGCAATTCCAGTTTAACTGGGAGGCCTGCATTTTATCTGGTAATACTCAGTAAGGAAGCGTCATTGGTCGAGAACCTTGGCCAAAGAGGATGTAGCCATTCTTCCTTCCCTCCTCCTGATGTGACCTGTCACCATGACTGGCTGGTCTCAGGGACAAGGCTTCCCTCGGAAAATGGTGGCTTTCTGTCCTTCATGCCCTGTTCTCAGTGGCTGCCCTTATTGTCCTCACAGGCCCGGCGAGCAGTACTTGGAGTGCCTTGTGGAGCTGTCCTCTCTCTCACCCAGGCCACCCAGTGACATTCACCCTGATGGCAGCTGCCTTGAGCAGGGTGACTCAGACCTTCCTAGGCAAGATTTGGCAGGTCCTGCTCCACTCCATTTCCCACTGCCCGAGCCTGTGCCCAAACCTCCACACACCCCCTGCTGTCACCAGACTCACCAGGGTCAGGACCATCTGGACACACACAAAGTGCCCAAGAGGGTCTTTCCCTGCTTCCTGGCTGCCTCTGTCCAGGGCTCAGAGCCCGTGCTCAGGGGCCTCAGGAGAACCGACAAGGAGGCCACAGCCCTGAGCAGCAGCCCCTCCTGAGGCTCTAGGCTCTGTCAAGCTCCTGGCACCCAGCTCCCCAACATGCTGCTCGTGCATGGTCCTGAATCCCCACTGGGCCTTGACAGTACCCTGATTAGGCTTTGAAACTCCCACTTTACCAGGCCCACTTTCCCTGCAACCCTCAGCTCCCCCAAACACAAAAGTACTTACTCTCCCCTGGGGTATGGTTTTGGCAACTGCCCGGGGCCTTAGGATTCTGCTCCAAACTGCTCTTGCCATGGGAGAGGCCCAGAGAGAAGCCCTGACCCCAATCTTAAGCCATACCTCTCCAGTCCTCTCGCACCAAGCTCTTCCTTCCGCATCCTAGGGCCAGAGATTCCTGCACAGCTGGGCTGGCTGACTGCTCCCATCTGAAAGAGTCCAGGGCCTCCTGCTCAGATACACTCAGTCTCTAACTCCCCCCACCCAGCTTTTATGGAGAATTCCAGAGCTGTCACTGCTCTCCCGATGTGCTCAGAGAACCTGTGGTTTGTGGGAGACGCACAGCCAGGCCCACTGGGAGAAAGAAGCTGGTTCCTCAGCCTCCTGCATCCCCTGATTCAGATACCACTTAATTGACCCACAAAGTAAATTTCCCAAACGCCCTGTTTGGCTGGATTCCATTGTCTGCTTTTATGGGGGCTGGTGTGTAATCGATCTCAGTCTTCCTACTAATGCCGGCGTGTCTACAAAGCAGACTGTAGGTTCCAGGTTGTAATTAACCAAGCTTTTTACAGTTGATTCTACTTTCAAAATGGTCTGAGATGCTTAGATGAAAGAAGCCACAGAGTATCACGGCTCTTCATAAAAATGGGCCAGATGAATGAATGCCAGCTCTTTGCCAACTCCCCCAAATCCCTACCCCTGACAGGTGCCTCTAGGAGTCCCAGTATCCACCCACCCTCCAAACCCTCCCAAACTCTGCAGGGGATGGAGTTTGATGTGTGCCCAGCTCTTTCAGGGCTCAGAGCCCCCAAAGGAGCTGCTCAAAGAAAGGGTCACAACACACATGTCCTGCTCCACACCAGCCACCAACAGCCTTGTGCACACACCCGACAGGGGCAGATACCGGGCAGCCCCGAGATGCACTGACCCAGGCAGGGAGAGAAAGGCCCCAGCAGCTGACGTGGAAAAGCTAGACCAGGGCGTCACAGCTGGGCTGGCTGACTGCTCCCATCATTGGCCACAGCTCTCCTGTGACATCTCTTCCTCCTCTTCCTTCAAGCTTCCCTTGGGAGGGACAGCGAGATTCCCCTTGCCAGGAAGCCCTAGGCACCCTCATCTCATACTCTGTGTCTTTAGGGGCTGCCACCCAAACGAGAGGGTCAACAGATGCCCAGCAGGTCTCAGGGCTGCAACTCTGCCCTCAGCCATGCTCTGCTCCCCAGAGTGCCCAACATGAGGCCAGGGACTGGACAGCGCCTCACACTGGGACCAGTCCCCAGGTAGAACCGGGTCTAGGGCTCCGTCCCGCCACCCTGTGTCACAGCAGGTGGCCAGAGGCACTGACCTGCTTCTGGAGTGAGCCTGCCCCCTGCAGGGCCCAGGCAGGACACACAGCACCATGGGGCGGGCAGTTCACTGGCCCATCCGTGGGGTGGAGCCCTGGAGAGAAGGAGGCACTGTTCATGGAGCGTGAGCAGGAGGGTGGCCAAAGCAGCCAGGAGTCCCACAGGCAGCAAGGCAGTGAGCCACTGTGCTGCCGCACCTCTGTGCGGAGGTGCTTCCCTCCAGAGCCTGGCTGGCTCTGAAGCCCTGGCATGCCACAGGAGCCTCCCACGGTCCGGGACTTTGTCCCCTGAGTGGTGGGGCTTGGGACAGAGCCTCTTTCTTGTCCTAGATTCCCAGAGCTGAACACTTGACTTTGACAAAGGGCCAGTCACACTTGTGGAAAACATGGTGGGACATGGATCCCAGCCCTCAACTGGGCAGTCACTTAACCAATCTGGGCCTCAGTTTTAAGATGTGTAAAATGGGTATAATGGTGCCAATTCATAGAATTATTATAAAGATGAAATAAGGATAAAAAGCTCTGGACGAGTAAAGGGCTAAATACATTATTACTTTCCCCTTTATTACTATCCCTTCTATATGGGCATTCCTTGCATGAACCTGTGCTCATTCGCAATCATCAGTGTAGAGATTAGTCAGACACCGATGGAACAGGGCTGCTTCCTTGTGGGTGCAGCCCTGGGAAGAACAGGTGTGAGCCTGGGGTGGGGGTGGGCACCTGTCCAACCCCAGGGAGGACCAATATCAACCCAGCAGGCCTGATAAAGCTGCCCTCCCTTGAATGGCCACCCATGCAGATGACCAAGGAGATAAAATTGAGCCCCAGATGGAAAGGTTAGATTCCACCCCTGCTTCTCCCACCCCGCAGACCAGAAGGTAACCACCTTCTCCCAGCACAGGAGGGTGCCTGGGTTGGCTATGACAGAAATGTCCCCTCCTGGGCTTCTCTCCCAGCGTTGCCAGGATCCCTGGATGGAGCCTAGCTTCTCAGTGTCCTCCCTGGGGTTTGGGTGAAAGGTTCCCAGGTCAGAGCCCCCACCACGCCTAGGGTTTAGCTCATGTCACAGTTCCACATGAACGATGAACCTTATACCCTCCCAAGCTTCCCAACACCAGCTCAGAAAGGGGGGTTGACCCCTAAACAGCCTTGGCCTGGGTCTCAGGGAGAGGGACTGCTCCAGACCCAGCAAGCCAGTAGCTCAACTCCAAGGACCTCTTCTGAGCCACGCCCCTCCTTCTGTCTGGGGGGGTCCTTTTCCTTACACCCTCAGCACAACAAGCTCCCTTAGCACTATTTCCCATTGCTTGTCTGTATTCATTCTCATTCTTCCACTCAACACATTTATTGAGCCCCTCTAACATTCTAGGGATGAGGATGAGGATGACTACAAATTATGCCCTGAAGGAACTCAGGTTCCATTTATGGAGCACTTAATGTGAACCCACGACTATTCTAATAACCTCCGGGGAGGTTGTACTTGGCAGGTGAGGAAAGCAGGCCCATGAGGTAAAGTTGCTTGGCCAGGGTTCCTGGTGGAATGCACAGCAGAGCCAGGATGCATGGAAGAGCAACATGTATCCAAAGCCTATGGCTTTCTCATCCTGCTTTCCAATACTTGCTGTGACAGTCTCAGCACAGGCAGCCTTGGGGACAGATGGGGACACAGCAAGTAGTGAAAAAAGACCAGAGAAGATCTATGGCAAAAGGTGGGGCGGTGGGCTGCCCTCTGAAGGCTGCATCATTTACTGTTGTGGACAGCTTTCCACCTCCCCTCAGTCCATGAACTCCTAGAAGAAAGAGGCTGCCCTTCTGTTGTGTCTTTCTTTCCAGCACCCAGTGCAGTGCCTGGTACACAGTAGGCACTCACTAAATACCTGCTGAGGAAACTGAGGTAAAAGTTTGGGAGTGGAGGCCATGTCCTATTTCTCTTGGGAGCATTAGCTCCTAGCATAGTTCTGGGCACTTAAACTGAGCCCATTCTCTCTGCAGGGGGAGGTGGAACCTGGACTGACTCCAGAGCAGACACCTTTCCTCGGGCTCAGCGACCTGGATGGGCCGTGTCTGAGCAACCCCTATGGGGCTAAGCAACCGCCTGGAGCCCACAAGCAGGCCTGGGTGGAGGAGCAGGAAAACAGTGAATGAAGGGAATCAACTATTACAGGCGACCAGAGAGGGGAGGACAGGAGAAGTGAGGAGGGGGCAGTTGGCAAGAGCAGCAGAGCCCACCTACCCTCTGGCCTAAAACCCCCCTGACAGCAATCAGATCTAAGCCCTGAGCCCCAAGAGGTGTCCCTCATCCATTCATTCATCCCTTCCTTTGATAAGCATTAACTGAGCCCCAATTGTAAGCTAGCTTGGCCCCTCCAAGCACAAGGTCAGCACTAGCGCAGGTGGACTCAGATGTGCGAAGATGTGTGGATATTTGCATGCACCGGGTGCCACAGAACAGGGAGTGTCCATGTCAGTGTGAGTGTGGAATAAAAACCTGGTAGCTTCCAATAAAACAAAGACTGGGTGCAGAGAGAAAGAGGTGAGGAAGTTCAGGTCAGACTGAGGTCTCTCATTGGCCAAGGGCCTGAGGAGCCCAGCCACGATGTGGATGCCCATTGTCTTAAAAGGAAGTGCCCACTGCCAGAAGCAGGGGCACAGTGGGTGGGGCTGGAGTAATTGCCTTGGGCCTCCTTCTCCCCAAATCGGTCCTGCGCTGCCCCTCACGGCCCAGCCCAGAACCCTCTGTGCCTCTCTTCCACAGGTCTCCATCATCTGAGTCTGCTAGAACCCCATGGCTGCCTGATTACTGGACATCCTAGAGGGGGCTGGACTGGCTCACATGTCCCCGCCTGTCTCCAGTGTGCCCCATTTGCCATGTTTGCGGGGTGCCGTCACCCATGAGCCACCTGTGCCCCTCTTACTGCTGCATCTGTGCCCTGGTGGCCAACTGGGGTGCCTTTTGTCCTCCCCAGCTGGGAGCTCCCTGGGCCCGGCCTCGTCAGATGCACCACTCAGCCTGACTATACCCACTCACCCACAGCCCTAAATCAGGGCCTTGGCAGGTGCCACACCCAAAGACCAGACCAGAATCCAAAGTACGTTTGCAAAAAGGCAGGAAACTTTATTGAATTAACTTTTCTTTTTAGTAGAGAAGCTAAGAAATCAGAGTAGCCGGGTTAGAAAGAAGAGGAAGTCAACCGGGGGAGAAGAGCAACAGGACTCCCCACCCCACCCCGGGAAGAGTGCAGGGCAGGGCTCCTGGGGGCCCAGTAACCGAGCATCCTGCAGCCCTGCCCTCTCTCCCACAGGGAACCATCAGCTCTGTTCTCTGGGTGCTGAGGCAGAGGGAGGGGACGCCGGGCAGGTTTAGGACCTATACATGTCCAAAGTGCGGCGAGTGGGAGGGGACGCTTTAGCAGAAGTGCTGCTCGGGCTGGGGGTGGCTCCTGGGGAATAGAGGAGGCAAGGGAGGCTCAGGCTGGAGGGGACCCAGATGAGCCCCCAGAGAGCCCAAAGCCCTAGCTGGTCATGTGGGGGTCAGTCAATGGGGACCGTATGTGATTGGCTCTCTCCAAGACAGCCCAGTGGAGATGGGACAGAGTCGTCTAATTTGAAAGTTAAACAGGTGAGCAAATGACCGCTCCCACCACTGCCCCCTCACTCTCCAATGGGGGGGTCCATCCTGCTTCCACCCCTGCCTCCCACTCAGTGGGTCCCTTACCTCCTGTGGGGGCAGAGCCAGCCACCCTGGGAAAGAGAAGAGAGGCAACCGTGAGCAGAAGGCAACCAAGACAGCTGCTTCCCTGTCCTCAGGTAGAGCAACTCAGATCATCTTTAGGAACCCCTGAGCTGGGCCTTCTTACCAGCTGTGCCCCCAGCCCAAGGACTGCAGCAGCAGGTT